GAAAGAAAAAGAAATTAGTCTTTCACTCTCCACTTTTTCCTCTCACCTTTTTTGTTTTGTTTTGTTTTTTGGACCACACTCAGCAGTGCTCAGGGCTTACTCCTGGCTCGGTGCTCAGGGATCACTCCTGGTGGGTTCAGGCGACCATTTGGGATGCTGGGAATAGAACTCGAGGTGGTCACATACAAAGCAAGCACCTTGGCCCCATCTATGACTTTTTCTGCCTCCTGGCCAGCCGCCCCAATTCTGGACCATTTGGGAATTTGAGAAACAGAATGCCACCTCTAACACTCTCCTTGGTTTGAACACTTTACATTTGCGTGTAAAGGTGTCACAAGACTTGGTGGTATTTCTCACCTCACAGCTCTTACTACCTGTATCAATCCGCATGACCACCTCTTCATTTGCCCACAGGTGTCCAATCAGAGAAGAGCAGACTGGGACCACACCAAATGCCCGTCTAGCTTTGCGCATTCCACTCTTGAGAGGGAGGATATAGTTTGTGCAAAGCAGCTCCTCCTGTTTGATAGTGCACCCAGGAGGCGGGGCGTGGTGCTCTCCCACTCGGTCTTTCCTCGAGCTCTTACAGGCCTTAGGTTTTACCCTCTTGCTTTTATCATTGACTAAAGCAGCAATGGCAGATGTGCAGCTGAGGGGGGAGAGCTGTGTATTAGATTACTTCAGAGCTCGTGGCTCTCAGGAGAGGCCTCTCCGAAAGGATTTGCAGAGTAACCTGGACTGTGAGACTGTGAGACTTCTACATTGTGGATTGTCAATTAATTGCCTTTTGATTTGAAACTACTGTTACCTGCTGGGTTCTGAATGTCTAGGAACAGTGATGTAGCTCGAATATTCTACTAAATTCAATTCAAGGAGTCATTCAGTTTAGTATTTCTCTATGTAGACAGGTGACCAGTGAGTGCAGAGATTCTCGGTATCCCCCAGAAGAAATAACGGCACAAGGCACATGTTTGTAAGGTTAAGACACCAGGCATAAATCAGAGACACCCTGTGGACCTGTGGGCCGGACCCTGCTATCCTGATGTTAAAGCACAGGGCCTGACTCAGAGACAGCCCAGGGAAAGCATACGCGCGCGCACACACACACACGTACGCACGCACACGCGCACACACACGCCTTCCTGTGCATAATTCGTTCCTAAAATAAGGGACCTCTGGGAGGACAGATGAGCGCAGGAGCAGATTAGTGAGTACAAATTAACACGCAGGCTCTTCATAAACGGTTTCCAAAGGTCTTTTTCAGGAATGTGTTTTCCCAAGGAAATGATGTTATCAGGGCAAAAGCTTATTTACCCATCATGTGTCTGAAGTTGTAATAACAGTACTAAGCCATGTTGTGTACCTTGTTTCCATGGAAAAACTCCTTCAGCATTTCCCCTCAAAAGGCTCAGGACACGTTCCCCTAGTGCCAGGCAAGCAGAGACCCTGGGCTAGGACTCAGGGAATCTTGGGCAGAGCTTGGCGTCTGAATGGGTGCCGGGCACTGGTGAGGGAGAAGGGTGGGTAAGCGAGAGAGGGCACGGGGCTGGGAGCCCTGGGGTGAGGAGCGGGAGAAGGCCCAGTGGGCTGGGTGGCACGGGAGGCCCCCAGGAGATGGTGGCTCCTGTTCAGAGAATCCCTCCATCGCCTGGCCTGGGCCCCGGGCCACTCACCCTCAGCCCACTGCTTGGTGCTGACCATTCTCCAGACCTGAACGTCTGATCTTCCTGCTCCCCATTTCATGCCCCTGGCCACACCTGGGCCTCCCCTTCTGCTAAACCCCTTCCCTCACTGTGACAGGCTTCACTGGGCAGCGCCTCCTTAGGCCTGACCCAGTCTCCTCCCTGGAGAGCTCTGTGTGGTTTCCTGGCCCTCTGGCCCTATTGGCGCCCTCCCTGCCCCAGTGCTGGGTCCCTTCATCCCTGAGATGCTCTGGCCTGTTTTCTGTTCTCTTTTCGGTGTTTTTTTTGGGGGGGTGGGGAGAGACAGGTGGATGGTAGAACTACCTCACCCAGTAGTTCTCAGAAGGTCACTCTGTTGGTGCTCAGGGAACCATATGAGATGCCGGGAACCAAAGCCAGGTCAACCATGTGCAGAGCAAGCACCCTACCCATTGCACTATCTTTCCGGCCCCTCTTCTCTACTCTTGGATAAAATTGACTTCTGACTCCTGGGCCCACTTGAAATGGATTTCCCCCAGAAAGGCCATCCGCGGCTGCATCCTAATGCTTTCTCTTTAGCGAATTTCTGCACTCACTGGTCACTGGTACTTCACCTTTGGTGTCCTGGATGGGACTTGCCTCAGGCCTTCCTCCCCACTCCTGCCGAATCCAGGCCCACTCTGTGCTCGGCTTCCGAGCTGGGAAGCTGTTATGCTGCTGCTGCTGCTTTGCTCCAGGACTCTGTGGTCCCAGGGTCAGAGCCCAGGGCGCACACAGGAAGGGCTTGTGCCCTCCCCCTTGGCCCCCCTCTCTGACCCTTGATAGGTTCTTTTGGTATGGGGAGGGTAGGCCTCCCAAGTGGTTCTCCAGGGATCCAGGAGCTCCTTGCCACGGTGCTCAGCTAACCAGGCCATCGTTCAGTCTTGGCTTAATGTGGTGCTGCTCGGCCCCTGCAGTGCTTGGAGACCCCAAGGCTGCACCCGCAGTGCTTGGGAGGTGTGTGGTGACTGGGATGGAACACAGCACGTATCCTAACCCTAACCCTGCACTTTCTTCCCAACCCTGGTATTTTTGAATGAGAATGAAAAAAAATGGGACAGTAGTACCGGAAAAGGTTAGATTCAATGTTGCTGAACAAATAAGCAAAGAACTGAGCATATGGACTACGTTATCTTCATTTTTGTTTTGTTTTAGGGCCACTCCCAACTATGCTCAGGGCTCACAAATTACTCCTGGTGGGCTCGGGGATTGAACCTGGATTGGCCGCATGCAAGATGTATCCCCTTACCCTCTGTACTACCACTTTGGCCCCCAGGTGGACTACTTGAAACCTCCCAGGTTTAAAAAAAATCACATCCCAGGGAACTGGAACAATAACCCAGCAGACAGGGCATTTGTCTTGCATGTGACTGACCTGAATTCAGTCTCCAGTACCCCATATGGTCCACCAAGCCCCCACAGGAGTGATCCTTGACATCAGAGCCAGGATTGAACCCTGAGCGTCACTGGGTGTGGCCCCCAAACAAGAACAAAACAATTTTTCCCATCTCAGTGAAAAATCAAGGTAGAGGGGCCACACAAGCATGTTTGTGAGGACAGTGGGTGATATTACTTCAAAAACCACTGATCAGGGCTGAGGTCTGCGTGCAGGCTTTGCACATGGCGGCCTGGGTTCAGTCCCTGGCACTGCAGGATTCCCGCGGCTCCCCCACGCGCCAAGCTTGGAGTAGCATTCAGGCACTGCCAGACGTGGCCCCCAAGACATTCACGAAATCCCTAAGGTGGGCGGTTGTAGCGTCTCTGGATTCAGCAGTGAGGAAAGCAGAATCGTCTTATTCTTCAAGGCCAACATTTTACCAAGGACAACAGGCCAGGGTTTATTTTGGTCTGGGGGCTGCACCCAGTGATGTGCTGCTCGGGGTCTGTTCCCGGCTCCCTGCTCAGAGGGTGTCCCTGGCCCGGGGCTCGAGGAATGGCACATTGACAGGGATCAAACCCAGAACACCTGCATGCAGAGCTCATGCTCCAAGTGGTCACAGTATCTCCGCCCCCCTTCCCCCCCCCCCCCCCCCCCGTGATAGCTCTGGAAGCCCGTTTCCCAGCTGCAGTCTTGGTCAGTGCAGTGAGAGCACTGCACTACAGAGCCGACTGCATCAGTAGAGCCTCATGCCGCTCCCACACGCCTTGGATGTGTGACTGGGGAGACTGCCCCAAGGATCCAGCATCTTTGGTCCTGTCTCTTGCCCGCTGTGGCTCCAAGGACCTCTAAGACGCCAGCACTAGCGGGGCTCCGTGTGCTGGATCATTCCTCTGCGCTCTCTGTGCCCAGCTCCCCGCGAGATCCCATTGGACCCCACAACCCTCAGAGTCACTGATGTCTCGGTGGTGTCGGATACCTGGGTTTTTTTTTTTTGATGGACTATTAGTACTTTATTTACTTAAAATATTGGAGCCCTGAACTAATTTAAGTCCTTTTATATTTGTTTTTTGTTTGTTTGTTTTTAATTTTTATTAGTGAAACACCATGAGGTACAGTTGTAGACTTACAACTTTCGTGCTTGGGTTTCAGTTATACAACGATCGAGTACCCATCCCTCCACCAGTGCCCATTCTCCACCACCACGGATCCCAGTATCCCTCCCACCCCCCATCCCCCTACCCCACCCTGCCTCTGGCAGAGCATTCTCTTTTGTTCTTTCTCTCCTTTTGGGTGCTGTAGTTTGCAAAAGAGGCATTGAGTGGCAGTTATGTTCGGTTTATAGTCTACTTTCAGTATGCATCTCCCATTCTGCTTTGAAAGGTATTCGCAGCTCAGTCCCTGTCTGTCCACCCTGGCTGAGAACCACCACATTCCACGGCACTCTCGCCATTATAAAACACCTTTGTGTTTTAGCCCTCTGAGTACCGGGAGCTTCGCTTACGTGTTCAGTAAACAAAAGTTGCTCAAATACTTGGAGACACCAGGCCCTCTCTGTGCAGTGGGGGGCACGGGGGCAAGCCAGGCCTGTGCCTTCTTGAAGGTTCATCCCTGGGAGAGAAGGGCCATGGGTAGAAATGTGGGCCTATCCCATCAGATGGCATTTGAACCAAGTCTTGATGCCAAGTGGGGCTGTGGGACCCTCCAGCCCCCAGCCCCAGTCCCCTCAGCAGTTGCCAGAGGCAAAGCCTTTGGAGACCTGTCCTTAGTGTTTTGTTAGCTCCCCCTTTCCAGGGCTGGGGACGCCTCCCGGCTCCTCTCTGTGCTCAGGGGCGGGAACCAGACCTGGGCTTCCTGTATGCCGAGGTCAACCTGCCCCGAGGCGGGCCCTGAGCTCACCTGTCTGTCTGCTTGTGTTTCAGAGGCTCCTCGACAGAAGCGCAACTGAATGGTCTTCAGAGCAGCCTCCCCCCTGCCAGCTTCGTGCCCAGCGCCAGCACCACAGGTAAGCGGGCACGCCGGCCCTCCCAAAGGGGGACGGTGGGGACAGAGCCTGGGGCCTTTTGCTCTTCTGCCTGCAGAGATGGCGCCCTCACAGGGTGGGGAGCCGGGGCCCATGACCCTTTTTTGGGGTTCCATTCTTCTTGAACGTGATAATGGCCACAGGGAGACAGAGTGGTTTTCTGGAACCACTTCCCTTGGGTCCCTGTGGCTCCCCCCGTCTGTGGGGCTGAGGCCTGTCAACGGCACTTCCCAGCCCACATCATCCCATGTGCAGTCTCTCCCTTCCTCTTCACCTCAGGCCCGAGAGCAGGGGGGGCGGGGGGGAGGTGTGGTTCTCGTCTCCCCCAGCGCCCCACCCCCAAGGCTCAGGAAGTGGAGGGCCTGGCCTCTGGAGGCAGAGCTGGGCTCTGAGGGCTAGCGGGACCACGTGCTGACCTTCTCGAGCCCACCCCTCGGTGTGAGAGCCCACTCTCCAGGAAGAGTTTGCCACGCGTGGTAGCAAGTCATACACGTATACCAACCAGCAGGAAAGCGAGTCGCTCTGATTCCATTGAGCAGGATTTCAGCCTGGAGCCCAGGCTGTTGGGAAGGGGCTGAGCCAAGCACCAGGGCAGACACAGGGAGGCCGGAACAGGTGCCACCGAGAGGGACAGCTGACCGCAGGGACCGGGTGTCGGTTTGCGGGGTGCTTTACAAAGAGGAACTGGGGTATCCACCAAACCAGCTCGTACTGCAGGACCCTGCTCCCCATTCTGTGTCGGACAATGCGAAGACTCAGGCAGAGCAAAGTATCTCTAAACTTGCTCAGATCCATCTGGCCTGGCTGTTTTTGTGGGGCTGGGGATTTTGTAGGAAAAGAAACCTCTAGGCGTAAAACCTGGGATGTGGACGCGTCAGCCAGGAGTGGGGCGATGCAGGGTGCAAGGAATGTCAGGAGGAAGGAACGACTTTGGAAAAGGCAGGGCTAGGGGGTATGTGAAATGTGTGGCGTTCTAGAACCTTCTGTGTCAGTGTGGCCAGGGAGGAGGGCATGAACCAGGAGTGGCAATAGAAGAGGGTACAGAGGTAACAAGGCCACTTTATAAGCTGTAGGGGCAGAAAGGAGCCACCAAGGATTTTGGTGGGGCGAAGGGGAGTGCGGGTTCAGATCATGCACCTTAAGATGCTTTTGGGGTCTCAGGAGTCTGGAGTGGCACGTGCCTACTGTGCTCATGTGGTGACTCCACACAGGTGTGTGTAGGCTCTGGGACCCCCGCCCCTCCCCAGGTCAGGCAGTCATATGCTGTGAGCATAAAGGTTCTGCTCTCCACTTAAGATCTTAGCACCTGTATGCTGGACATATTTTGTGGACACTCACTCCCCCCCTCCCACCCCACCCAAAGAATAACTAGGCCATGGTGGCTCCTTTTTATTTTGTTCTGTTTTAGGGGCTATGCCCAGCGCTGTTTAGGGGTAACTCCTAGCTCAGCATTCAGGGATCACTCCTGGCCAATTTGGAGGACCATATGGGATGCCGGGAATCTAACCTGGCTCAGCCATGTGCAAGGCAAGTGCCCTGCTCGCTGTGCTATTGCTCCTGTGGTTCTTTTTAAGGATGTCACGTTTTCCTGTGGAACACCTAGGAACTGAGAGGTGGGCTGGCTAGGGACAGTCCAGGTCTGGTTGGCAGCCCCTGCCCCCCACCCCAACCCCTCAGACAGAGCCCCTCAGCACCTTGCACTTGCTCACACCCAGGAGAAGTTCCCAAAGCCTCGGGGAGCGGGAAACCTCTACCTTCTCTGCGCATCTGGCTAGCCCAGCGGAGGCAGTGGAGTCTCGGCCAGAACATTGATTGACCATTGAGACCACTCAGGTTTTGTAGCAGTGCATCTGGTGTCGGCTTGAAACCTCGGAGCCAGGAGAAGGCAGAGTGCTTCCATCTGACAGTCTATTCAGTGCTCTGGGCCCGCCTGCCCCTGAGATAAGCCCGTGACCTCTCTCTCTTTTGCTCATACAGCTCATACAGAGCCTCATGGTTGGCTCTGTCAATCAGTGGAAATTAACACTCACCCCCACCTCCCCCCTTGAATTTGTTCTTGTTTGGTGACTGCCCTGGTGTTCCTTATCCTTGATTAAAGAAGCATTGATGGCCATGGTGAAGATTTGAGGTTCACTTGCCGTGCTCCCAGTAAACATTTTGCCCTCAGTAAGTAGTAAACAACTCTGGGGGAGTTGTCTGTACAGCTTGAGTTCAGTGTTCCGACCACACATCTTCCTGGATTTCTGTATTGCATTTGGTCTGCAGGAGTTCCCGGGGCTCTGAAGGGGGTCCCATCAGATGGGGTGACACTGCTGTTGGAACATGTTTCTTTAAGCTTGTGAGAAAGGAGGACCCTGCCAGACGCCAAACGGTTTGCAGAGGTAGGAACTTGGTGCCCCTGCTGGAATCTCTCCGCTGACTCTGAACGGTCTTTAGCCCCTGTCTGATCCAGTGATCTCCGCTGGTGGAACGTGGTATTCGTGAGCCCACAAAGATAGCAGAGGTCTGTTTCCTGGCCCCTTAACCTTTCCCCCGCATGGGCCAGCCAGGCCCCGTGCTCCGTGACTTTGTTTGTCAGGCCGCTGGCCGAGAGAGCGCCCCATCCCAGACACTGCTCGGAAATGGCTCGTGGCCTTTCCCGCTGCCAGGGCCCAGCCTTTGCGCGTTAGGGCCGTTGCATGAGGCTGTGCAGGTGAGCGAGATCCCCAGGCAGAGGGCACAAGCCCCCTCGCGTCCCCTTTCCTGGGCTTCTCTGCCTCTGGCTCTGCATCGCGTGTTTGCTGTGGAAGGGATGGTGTCAAGGCAGCAAATCTGGAGATTTGAGGGAGAAACTGAAGTGAGGGCCTTTTGACTCCAAGCTCGCCCACTGGGGCGTTGTTCTTAGGAGGTGGTGCCGGTGAGCGGGACTGACAGAGACGTGGGTACAATCCCTGAGCCCCCTTCCCACTGCTGCCCGGAGAATGTGACCCTCTGCCTGTGGGGAGCTGCGACTGGCCCCCACTCTGCAATCCTTCCTGCCCCAGCTATCCTCAGCCTTTCCTGTCCTCGTCCCCCCGCCCATCCACCTCTTTGGGTTTTTGTTTTTGAAGCTCGTGTTGGACTGCAGTTGGTTGAAAGTGCGCCAGCCCCAGATTCCATTTCCAGGGGGTGAGGGTTGGGGTCCTTGTCACATGTTACTTCCGGCACTACCCTGGGTAGGAAGCACTGTCGCTCTGTGCTCTTTGCGTGGAATCGGGACCCCCCCCAAGCAGTGACTCTCTGCCCATTTCTCTAGGCGCCCTCTTGGAAGGCAAGTGACTGGGCCCCGGGCTCTCTCTCTCCGGCCAGGGACTCATTTAATAGGAAGTGAACTCGGGAGAGCTGAAACCCTAAGGATCTAGGAGTCACTCTTAAGTCCAAGTGAAATCATTCGCCTGGCAGCACTCGGCAGAAGGATCTGCTTTCACTCACAGACTTATGTGCTTTCCACCTTGCCTTCTATAGTTGATAGAAGTCTTGGATGGATCCAGAGCATACCAGATTCAAGATCAAAAGAAACTCCTTGGGATTTTGGTCCTGCTAGCTTATACCCTTTTAAGTATTCTCTTTTTTTCTCCCCGAGTGGCAAAGGTATAGAATTTGGACAATTGGTCAATCCATTAGAAAGCGCACATGAGGGCTTGGCTGTAGTTTCGGGCAGGAAATGGGGTGGTAGTGTCTGGGAGAATGTGGCTCCCCCAAAACCTAGTTTTAGATGGTCCTTTCCACCAAGAGCAAATTAAGCGTTAAGTAGGGCTTTTTTTTTTCTTCCTTCTTCTTCTTTTTTTTTCCCCACACTTTCCAGGATCTTTGAAACTTCCCCAGGTTATTTTCGCCAGATCCAAACTTTTGTCCACACACCCTGGAGTAATAGGACAGAGAAAATCAAAGTCGGTGAAGTCAGGGCCACTTTAAGGTAACAGTAAGAATAAAAGCGTACTTTCTTATTAGAACTTGCTGACTTGATGCCGCCACGGGAGGCCTAGTAACGGTCAAGTAACTGTTTCTCGAAATGACATAGAAAACGAAATTTCATAGCCAAAGCTCACTCCCAGACTGGGGGTCCGAGCTGCAGCGGGGTGGCGGCTGTCATGGCCCGCCAGTAGATGGCGCTATCGCAGTTAACAACAACAACAAAATTTTAATATTCCTGAGCCTTTTGTTTAAAAATCTGGGGACACTGAGGCCAATAAAAAAATAGAAGCTAAGCTTTCTCAGGTAAACGATGATAGAATGTATTGGAAAGCATACTATTCGGAAGCCAGATTGCAGTCACCTCTAAAGAGAGTGAATGTTATTTAAGGCTTTTAGATTAGAGCTGGATGGCTAGAGAATAATGTTTTCAGATCCTTGAATGCAGAGAAGGAATTCCCCCCCCCTTTTTTTTTTAACTTTTGGTGATAATACTTTAGTCTTTAATGAATTATTTAAGGTAAACATAGGCTATGATAGGGAGCAAAGCGAAGTATAAACCCCATCCTCCCACCCATCCAAGTAGAAGTCCTCATGGAGGAAAGGCCCGGTTCCTTCTGGCAAAGCTGCACTCCCTCTTCACCAGCGCTGCCCCTCAGGAACAGTTCCCTGCTGTGGCTTCCAAGCGTTTCCGAAAATTCTGTGAAACCACAGGGTTCTAAAGGTCCCTTTTCTCCTCGTGCTCGCGTGCACCGAAGCATTCCTGGTACACCTGCCATGAGCTTACTCCTCTTCTTCCCTCAAGGGGGATGTTTGTAAACATCTTTGAGAAGCATTATTCGTCAAAATCCCTTGGGCAGGCAAAGGCAGGAGGAAAACTATTTCCCCACCGCAGGCTTCATTTACATTGGATCAGAAAGCTTCAAATATCTTTCCCCGGCCCAGCTAAACTCTTAAACAGAAAGGAATGAGAAGAGCGAAGGGAACACCAAATCCACGGCTTGGTCACCTACCAGAAGTTGAACCGAGAAACTGAAAACAACCAGAGCTCGCGGGGTGAATCCTTAGCCAGCGGGGCCTTTGATGCTGCTCCCGAACAGCCTTCCCCCCCCCCCCCCCCCTTGAGGAGCAGCTCATAAAACAGAGAAAACTGGAGCGAGAAGGTCAATGTTTCCTTCAGGAGACTGGCAGCCAGAAAAGCGAAGGTGACCTCACGCTCCAAACCAAACCTCCGGCCTGCCAAGAAGAACTGACTTTGTCCGCCCCGTTTCCAGGACTGTGAGATTTGGACCTGCCCGCAGTTAGTAATATCGCTTTCCTTGAACCTATTTCGTTCATTTCCCTTATAATCCGCCCAGAACATTACATGGCAAAATAAGCTCGTCCGCAAGAAGCCTTGGGAAGGAGCCCATCGCTCAACATTGAAATCTCTGTGACCGTCAGCCCGCAGAGGCCAGGCTGCCCGCAGCTCAGCCCCGAGCGGACAGTGTTAAGCTGCATGGGGAAGGACTGGCTGGAGGGGCAGAGCCCACGACAGGCCTCCAAAACCCAGCTTCCCCCACCAGCTCCCCCACAGAGGGCTGCCTGTCCACTCAAGGAGGTTGCACAGAGGCATTGGAGGTTGCTGACAGAACAGGGTCCAGGGTCCATAGCCTGGGTGATGACCCAGTCAAAAACAAGTCACACACACTTCCAGTTCCAGAACCTCTTACACTGGGTGTGGCCATGGATAGGCAGGACAGCAGAGAAGTGAGTGTGTGTGTGTGTGTGTGTGTGTGTGTGAGAGAGAGAGAGAGAGAGAGAGAGAGAGAGAGAGAGTCTTGAGTGTATATGAGTATGTGAGTGAATGAGTGTGTGAGTGTGTATATGTGTGAGTATGTATGTGAGAGTGAGTGTGTGTGAATGTGAGTGTGAGTATGATTGTGTGTGTGTGAGACTGAGAGTGTGTAAGAGTGTGCATATGTGAGAATGTGTGTGCAAGAGTGTACATATGTGAGAATGTGTGTGAGTGTGAGTGTTGTGTATTTGAGTGAGTGTGTATGTGAGAGTGTGTGTGTAAGAGTGTGTGTGTATGTGGAGAGTGAGTGTGTGTGAGTGTGAATGTGAGTGTGAGTATGATAGTGTGTATGAGACTGAGAGTGTGTGCGTGAGTGCGCATATGTGAGAATGTGTGTATGAGTGTGTGAGTGTTGTGTGTTTGAGTGAGTATGTATGTGAGAGTGTGTGTGTAAGAGTGTGTGTATGTGAGCGTGTATGTGAGAGTGTGTGTGAATGTGAGTGTGAGTATGATAGTATGTGTATGTATGAGACTGTGAGTATGTGTTTTGAGTGTGCATATGTGAAAATGTGTGTGTATGAGTGTGAGTGTTGTGTGAGTGAGTGTATATGTGAGAGTGTGTGTGTGTGTGTGTGTGTGTGTGTGAGTGACGCAGGGCTGGGAAACATGAGCTGGCTGGATGAGAGGGAAGGTGGTACCGACACTTGGGAGGGTGTGTGAGATTATGTGTGTGAGTGTGCATATGAGAGAGTATGTGTATGAGTGTGAGTGTGTGTGTGTGTGTGTGATGCAGCCCACCCCCACACACGGTGGCATGATTACATGCATTGTCTGGTGCTTTCTTAGGTTCTCAGTCTCTTTGACTTTTATTCACCCTGGAGCCAATTCCGTTGACTGTTTTCTATCTTTTTGATGCTTGGGCGTTTGGGGGCCTTCCAGACCCGGGGAGAGACTGCCCCTCCCAGGGCCAGCTGAGTGTCTCAGAATAATACCAGCTTGCCCACAAGCAGGCCCGGTGTATCCACACCAACCCTCCCAACTGTCTGTCCCCCCTGCCCCCTCGCCCAGCCAACTCTCACGTTACCTGGCCCTGAGTCACCCCAGGACCAGGGAGCGGTAAGAGGCACTCCCACTTTATCCTGAAGCCGGAATTACTCAAGTAAACCAACCCAAAACTGTTCTCTCTGCCCAGCAATCCGAGATAAGCCCCAGCCCAGACCTCCCCCTCGCCCGTGTGGCATGCAGTGACCACCTGCCTGGGACCCGCAGGTTTGACATGCTTGTTCTCTGAATCAACAGGAAGAGAACTTGACTCTGGCCTTCCAGGAACCAGGGGAGGAAGCCCAGCTCAGATAGGCGACCGGGGCCAGAGCCATAGGACAGCAGATTGGGCACTGTCCTCGCCGCACAGCCAACCTGGGCTTGATGTCTAGCACCATCTCCGGTCCCCCTGGGCCCCACCAGGAGTGTTCCCTGAGCGCCGAGCCAGGAGTAAGCCCTGAGCACCAAGGGGCCCCAAAACAAAAGCAAATATTAGGCGACCATCACCCACTTCTTAGCAGCTGGTCGTGGAAATCGCTTCCATAGAGGCTGGATTACACAAGTGATGTTTCAGCAGTCAGTGTTTTGTTAGCTTCACTCTGGCTGCAACCACACAAGAGGGAGGTGGATCCCTCCACATGGCAAAATGTCCTGGCCGCCAGCCATTGAAATTTCATGCTTTCCTGTCCCGAGGCCCCTTTCATTGCACTCGGTAACCATCTCTGCCTTCAGAAACAAAGCTCCAACTTAGCCAAACTACCTGGCTTGTCGGTCAGAGAGGAAAGTCCTGACTTTCAGGGGCGGGGAGTGGACCCAGAAGGGGGGGTGTCTAAGAGCCCAGCCAAAGGCGGTGCATTTCACTTGCCCGGACGAAAAGCAGGGAGCTCTATTTCCGAGCTGCATTAAGCAATGGGCTACTGAGAAAGATAACATCTGAAAATGAAGATTGTCTCTTGCCGAGCTGGCCCTGTCCCAGGAGGAGAGTGATGAGTCTTCAGTTGTTAACAATCGCCACTTTGTTGGGCAGAGGGGAGGGAAGCTCAGTGGGCCCTCTCCACTGGCATTGCGGTCACAAGACGGCATCCTCCTGGGGAGAACGCCTGGCACCCCCAGGTGGCTGGCTTCGTGTCTGCTGCTGCCACCACCAGGCAGAGGTGGCCTGGCCTTTGCAGCCACAGGGTCCTGCTTATCCTGTCACCCTGCGCAGAGCAGGTTAACCCGCCTGACACGGCCCTCCACTGGGGGTCTGTGGACTGACGGCTTGTTCCCAGCCTGGGCTCTGGGGGTCTCCGGCCCACTGACCCACACACCGTGCTGCAAGCCTCAGTGAGCGGGCACGTGCCTCCGCACAGCCGTCCTTCTCGCCTCAGGACATAATTGCTCCCCAAAGCTCCAACGACGAGGCATGCCAAGCCATGCCTGGCTTTGGAAAAAGCACGCCGTGCACATGGAAATACTTAGCACTCTGTCCGCCGATCTGTAGAATCTGAGCGGGGCTCCGGGGAGTGTGGGTGGGCGAAGGGAGCGTGGGGCCTATCACCCCGTAATTGGCACCGATAATGAGCCTTTCTTCTCTCAACCCCCGAGCAGGAGAAATGAGAATGAGGAGCATGAGTAGGAAAACTGGAAAACTTGGACCTCTCTTTGTCCTCACTCCCTGGGTATCCAGGAGCACTTTTCTCTAGAACCTTCCATCCAGGTTAATAGTTCCTGAGCCCCGAGAGGTACCACTTACACATGCGGAGCATCCCTGGAGAGCCATAATTAAAGCGTAGCACGATCCCCAGTAGGACACGGGGCCATAGCTGACAAAGCCAGCCAGGTTGTAAGAGGACAAGGTGAGACACACACACACACACACACACACACACACACACACACACACACACACGGTGTGAGTCGATTCCCCACTGCATACTAGTGCTCTGTGCTTCTTGCTAGCAGGTAGGAGGGTCACTATTTTATATCGATGGGAACAAAAGGCAGTTTTGAGGGTGGCCCTATCCTGCCCCTTCCAGTTGCTACTTATCTACTTCCCAGGGAAAGAAAGAGGCATGAAGGAAGCCCAAAAAATGATACTTGGGAATTTGACCTTTATTTGAAAAAAAAAAAAAAACTTACTCTGGCTGGGCTGGAGCGATAGCACAGCGGTAGGGCGTTTGCCTTGCACACAGCTGACCAGGGCT